TGTTTTCCACTAATGAAGTCTTGTACACCACATGACACTCACATCAGCCCATACTCAGGAAAAGGCATGTTTAATCAGCAATAGTCAAAGGTCTATGTAGGCAAAATGCTAATGTGGTGAACGGAGGAAGAAGGGCTTCTGGTGTCTGAAGAAAGTACTTAACATCAGTAAATCTTTCGCACAAAGCTTTGAGTAGAGAAGGTTAAAATGTGAGAGAATTTGCTTCCTCAGTGTTGGTTATCTGCCCTTCACATGCCTTTTATTTTTTTTAAGTTGATAGCCAAATAGATATGTTTCAGACACATCAAAGTTCTTATGAGAAGGAAAGGGAAATGAGCAATTTTCAAGTTTTTGTCAGACTTTTTTTTCTTGCCCCAACAATGAGTTTTACAACAATACGACCTTGAGCATGACTGGCTTTGGAAAAGCACTCTGTCATTTAGTACTGAGAACTCAACTGTAAGAGGACATGACCATTTCACATTTGTCAATGCCATGGAGGAAGTAACTCAAAGCACACTTGAAAAGGGGAACTTTTAAAACAAGAGCCTGCACAGGCAAACATGTCAGAATGAGCTAATTCTCCTTACATTTCTCCCCCGCTTTGGCATATACAGACTACTGGTTTGGAGAATGCTGGTGTATATCAATATTAATCAGAATATCTCTGGATCTTTAACCACTCCACTGATTACATGCACACAAAGGGTATTCAGGTTGCAAAGCCCAAACTTCACAAAACAGACTTGAATTATGAAGTTACTGTGAAAAAAAATTAAGGAGAAAACTATTCAAAAACAGGAAAGGCCTTTTAAAGATTGCATGTGCACTTGGGCTTAAATTCCGCTGAGAACACATGGACCACTGAGAGCATCTGTCATCTACAGCCCTAGGCAAATATCTGAAACAGTTACTGTTGGGTAAACTTCCTTCTGCGAAGAAAAGGCAAACATTCATGGATCAAAAGAGATGTACACACAACAGCAGGGCAATTTTTGCTTCCAGACCTCAAAAAGTATGAGAATGCAAATCCTGAAAGACAAATGATTAGCAGAAAAGAAACAGGTCCCATGGAAAGCGTGCAACATCATACTCTTACGGACTTCAAAGAGCTTAGAAAGTTGTCTCTTCTGCTGCTAGTCCCTCCCTTCTAGCTGAAGCTGTTTGATTGTTCACAGTCTATTTCAATACAGAAGTTAAACCATTTTCAGTAATGGCTTAATTCCTGTTTTATTTCTCACTGAAATGTTTGGGCTACTGTACTGTCAGACACTGGGTGTTTAGCTCTGGGCACAGTACCATCCCACTGAGGAGGAGATAGGCTCCCTCAGAAGATGGGAACTTAAAATTCCTTAAATTAATCATGCACAAACCCACCTGGTTATAGCTTCATACTTTCAGAACAAGTTTTCCAGTCCAGAAAGTTAAGCCATAAATTATGCATAAACGGCTGCTGTCAACTTTCATTCCGCACTCTGTATAATAAAACTTCCTGATCACATTTAATTTTTAGTCTATATTTAAAAAGAAAATATTCACATATCATGTAATTTCATATTGTATGCCAAACACAAATACAATTTTGCTGGAGTTTCACAATTTGTTCTCCATAGAGCTGCTCAAACTTAAGCACCTAGAGCACATCTGTTATTTCATCACCCAACTGTATCTAAACAGCATTCAGGACACAAGCAGACTATGCAATGAGCCATTTTCAAACTAGTGAGAACAAAACTAGCCAGTAAAATGTGGGGGCATTGATGAACGGAATAAAAGCCTGTCAACCTCAAAGGGCAGTTACAGTCCATTGCTGAATGACAAAGCGCTATGTTGGGACAGTTACTGTTGCCCAATGAAGGGAAATTTAGAAGCACCTGATGATGATGATTATCCCAAATAGGCAGGTTTGCCAGACCAAAGACAAACCAAAACCACAAAGGGCATGCAGGTGGTAATGCCTGATCTGCATCTGTGGGCTAAGCAGCTGCACAGTCCCACCTGTGCTGCTCACGTGAGACTAAACAGCATCAGAGGTGCTGAGGTCACAGGCCTCTTAGCAGGCACTTAGCCTAGACAGAAAATGCTCTCATTTTTATCTCAAGATGAGCAATCATGCCAGACTCCTTTACTTGCCGCCGTCAAGCAATAAACAGAGGTGGCATTAAACCATCTGTGTAGTCTGTCAGTTAACGCACTCCTGCTGTCAGTAACATCCTTACCTGCAATAAAATTTATGAAGCCAATCTCACTCCTGATAATACAAAGCACCTTTATAAGACAGCAAGTATCAGCAATGTTGTAAAACCACGAAACTGAATTAAAAAAGTCTTGAGCTAAACACCTCGGGAGCAATGTTTAACGAGGTTATACGACATTAAAACTTATTGATTTTTTAAATGTAAAGAAACTCACACAAGTGAAGTACAAACCATGTTGAACAAAACTTTAAATTCTACTCATTAAACTTCAGACAGCTCAAAACATCAGTTCTTACATGGCAAATGTTATTATCCATAATTTCAAATCAGTCTTTCTGTTCTGAAAAACAAGGCTAAATACGTCTCAGAATTGGGCCAAAAGAACCCTGGCATCCGATGCCACTAATATTTCAACAATCTATTGGTTTTAAGCTGGTTTTGAGTTTACGACTGTGCTGACTGGTCTGCTTAAAACCTGAATATTTTCAGGCTTTGTACATACTAAAGTCCTACACAGCTTATCACTGCCACCCAGTTTCTTTGATATCATGGCCTAATGAATTAGAAAGAATTAGAAACCTGGTCTCTTTTTTTCTTTTTTTAATTCCTCACTCTGATTGTATGACCTCAAGCAAGTCACATTCTTTCTGACATTTATTCTCACTGTATTCCAAGTGTTGGAGTGACAGTAGCTTACCTCAATACGGTGCTGTGATGCATAACTAAATAGCCATGAAGTGCTCTACAACATGGAAAACAGTATTAAGGCCACTGGCTGACAAAAACAAGAGGATGCATGAGTTCCCTGGCACACAGCTCAATGTTTAATCCACTAGATTATACGGCAAATGGGAACAAATGCTAGAATGATAAAACTGATACTGTTAAAACTGCTTTTGTACTACTAGTATTTGCATGATTCACTGCAAATTTCAATTAATGAAAAATTTCTCAAATTATTTTCCTTAAAACTGCACAAAACCTGAGAAATGCTGCATAAATACCTACCATAAACACAAGTATTCCTTGTTTCTCTTATAAATGAAGAAGTGTTTAGAAAAACAACAGAGATACCACAAATGTAAAAACATAAAAACCCCAAAAGTACTTAATTTGGCTACTTTCACTTGCATAAGAATTCGTATGAAACATTTACAAATTTGCTTCCGGTATCATGGAAAAACAAAGCCCTCTTGCAGACTCCTTAACATAAAGAGCAAAGAATATTTAAGTAAATGGATAAAATCAGAGAACTGTTCATATTTACATAGTTGTAATAAATGCTTATCACAGAGCCCAGAAACAGCTTTTAACAGTCAGGCTCTTGTAAAGATACAAACAGCAGTAGTGATAAACCGTACAAATAATTACAGAGAACATCCTTTCCAGCAAATATTGTGCTCCTCGTCCCTCCAAAAGCTAAAGCAGCCTGCAAAACTTTCTGAGTTCACTGCTTACTTCAGCAATGCTGTCCTAGAAAGCACCCTGGTCTAAAAAGCTTCCACAAGCTCACTCTGTAAATATTGTAACAACATAAACAATGCAGAAGCTTATCCAAATATTGGCCTTCTTCAACTGATAATTTACAAAGGGAAAGTTTTCTTATTCTACAGGAAATAAACACTAAATCTACAGTTCTAAAGGCACTCTCATAAGAGGCTTTGGGTTAAGAAGGAGGGTGAACAGGGTAAACAGAATAGATCTCAAAGTTAAAAGGCTGTTAAAAGCCTTTCCATCACCAGTGACATTGAAATTTGGCATTAAAAAAGATCAATATTTTTCAAGAGAAAGTCACAGGCTGAACAGGCTGTCATGAGGCTTTCTTTGTATCACATGCACAGCGGTGTATCATTTGTCTCTCCAAATAAAAACCTAACCTTGAATGTGTTTTCACATCCACTTCACCACACATAACCACACTACGTGTCGGAATGTGTGTCATTTTCCAACCTGGCATGTGCAGACCTGTGTGCACACTGAAAAGCCAAGACACCGTGTCCAACCCTACACAGGGCAGTACCTAAGCAGCATTTCCCCTTGCATTTATTTAAGACTTTTGCACAGGTCAGACATTCACGTCTGTGGCCTCCTAAGCAAATATTGTGGTTCAAAAGTGATCTGTAATATACACTTACAGGAAAAAAAAAAAAGTAACTGGCTTGGTATCCTGTTACATCATTTTAATTTCTTGCTTTGTTCTAATGACTGTTTTCACAAGGCCTAATAACATAATAGAAAACAGAATCCACTTGAACAGAGGTTAAGTACAAAAAAAGAGAGGGGTCTTGCTGTGTACAAAAATCTGTGAAGTCCTAAACCCCAAACGGAGCTGAAGCAATACAATTATCAGCATTCCCATTGTTTGGATCATGACCTAGAAATCTGGCAAGGAGCATTTTTTTATGTCACATGTACTTGTTGCAATTCCCATGACAACATAAGTATTTAAAACAGTACCTGAAAATACTATTTTCAAGATGGCTCCACTCCCTGAGGAATCAACAGTTATTTATAGGGCCTGAAGTTATTTGATACTTGAGATAAACACACCCCTCCTTGAATCAGTGACCCTGATAGTTCACAAAGTTTCAATTATTCCTGTAGGCAGAATCCTGACCTCCACTGATTTATGCACACTTGTAACTCACCCTGTGGTTATCACCAAAACTAAACTATACTGATGGGCAACACTTCCTTTTTGTAGAGAAACAACATATTTGTCCTAGAGCTACGAAACCCATAAAGCTGCCCTGACCTTGTTACAAATACTCCTTTGCCAAGATACTTCCTTAACAATCTCACCTGTACTTCTGAATCAGCATCAACATGCTGTAGTTGAAACCAGGTGTCTCTGTTATGATACTTTTGAAGATCTTCTTTCTGTATAGCTACCTTTCCTGGAAATAAAACAAAACAGAAGCATAGTTTAAGACACATTGTAGCTCCCCAAAAGTACATTTCCATTGAAACCAAGTTTTAAAACAATGATTTAAGGACTGTCCTATTCAAGAAAGGCTTTAGAGCAAGGAAAGAATTTTTTGAGGCATCCTCCTTTACACAGTATATAACGATGAGCCCAATACTAACGATGGTACAATTCTGATAAGCATCTTTTTCCACTTCATATTGTGAATGACTTCGAATTCCTAACATCATACTCACCTAACAGAGTGAAGCACTGGGCAGTGCAGACAAGTTTGTAAGTATGCTTATTGTAAAAACGTCATTCCTATTTCTTTGACATACAATTAAACTTGTGGGAAGAATGCTTGGAAACTGTTGGGGAGAGATTTTTGAGGCAGATGTCCATAACAATCCCAAAGTGAAGTTCCATGCATGCGTTATTGCTAACAATATTTTAGGATGAGGCTTTTCACTACATAGTTTTGTAGGAAAAGGGTAACAACAACGGATGTCAAGTCACAACAGATTCCCAGATCTGCACCTTGAGGCCCTGTTGACTCACTTCCCTCACTCAAATCTTTTAAGAGTTTGCATTCTGCAACATAGATCTACCCAAGTACTACCCCTGACTGTAGGGAGAAAAAAAAACAAACCACCCCAAAAAACACCGTAGACCTTTCACTCTCACCTTTTTTAACCACTCTTATCCCTATCAAATTATCTGTTTTGGTAGTGAGGGCACAGGGAGGGTACTGCCACATGAGGGTAACAGCAGCCTGTTCCATGCTGTGAACTAATGTACATGAATGCTAAGGACTAGTATATATGTAGAGTGGAAACTTCTGTCTTGCCCAGTCTCTCTCAGGCATTATGTAAAACACTCTCTGAGGGGCAATGAAACTTCTTCCAAATGTCTTTCTTTGTATACACAAAGTTGAGTGTGGCATGCCTCAGGAGCACGTGATCCTCAGAAAGCAGCTTTGGGTTGGGTGGTTCCCCAGGCACTGAGCAAAGCAGCATGTTCAAAATGAAAGAATCCAGGGCAGTCAGAGACATCAACAAGGCTCGAGAAAGCTGGGTTTTGGCAATGTGGTGTGCTAGCAGATTTTCACTGCTAGAGTGAGTCGCTCACATACAATTTGCAACCACTGCTTTGCTACAAAAATACACGCTTTTTTTAAAACAAATACCATTGCATAAGAACTCACAAACGGATACAGTCCTAGTGGGAAAGAGACTTCCAAAGCTTCCTAAGTTCGTGCAGCTCGACTAGACATCAGTAATCCCTTACCTCAGAAAATGTTAACAGAACACACTTACAAAGAAAATAAATTTAAAAAATAAAACAAACAAACAAAAAACCAAACAAAAACCCCTACACAATGGAAGACTACAGAAATGACAAACACAAAGCATTTTCCCATCTGAAATCTAAAAGCTTATGAAAGTCTCAGCAGCAAGTTGTTACGCACCAGCATTCCCTCAAATTACGGCCTTTTCCTTTAGCTGTTGCTGGATGGCTTCGCCCAGCCCTCCTGTTTGCTGGGCTGCTTCTCATACCATGCTGCAGCTGCTGCTGCATTCTTCTGTCGGGTTGCTTCGGTGAGAGTTTCCAGATTCCCAGTCCCAGTTTCTAAAGTACTCTGCCATCCTTCTGAGGCTGCCCTCTCTAGTATCTGCCAGGATTTCTGCTCTAGCTTCCACAGAACTTCTGACCCAATACTCCCAAGTTTTGCTCATTCTGCCCTCAGCACCCTCCTACTCTGGCTTGTCCTTTAGAGATTACCAGATCCACCTCCTGTCAAAAACTTAACTAGAGATTAACATGGTAGATTCATTACCAGCCTCTTTATTGGTTATGCAGAGCAAGTGACTTGAAACTTCTTAGAAAAGCAGTAATTACACAAACCTACAAAATAATACAGCAGAAAGGGTAAATAAGACATCTGAACTGTGCTGAACAGGAGACACCAAGTTATGCTGCTGAGAATCTATGTGATGACGTCTGTGTTTTGGTTTGTGGGGAACCTAGATTCTCTAAAACACTTTGAGAGAAATGCATCTGAATGCATGACCTTCCAATAATTGCTTTGGACTTCACTTGAAACTGTTTACTTTCACTGCTTGCTATCCTCGCTGCACCCTTTAATCTCTTGCAGAAATCCTCTCCACCCGACTGCAGTGTTGCACACGCTTGCCAAACACCCTCACCCGCATCAGTCTCATTCACAGCCACTTCCTATGCAGGGAGCGTCCTTGCAGAAAACTCAAGGAGGGTGCAATATCTGCACCTGTACATAGCATAAATGGTGTGATCACTCAGCAGGGAGTTCCACTGCTCTCAGACAAAGCTCGCAGGATAACCCAGATGGGTCTGACCACAAAGTCGATACATAACTGCAGCACAAATGTTCACAGGTAATGGCACATGCCTCCCTCTTCGAGGGGGTTAACATGGTGTTACAACTGTTTTGATTAGGAAACTGTTCGAACAGCACTGTTTGCTCTGCACACAAGCAAGTCATATTAATGACTGAAACGTATTGACTGGGCTGGCTATAATCCAGGGTGTTCCACTACATACCAAATGATTCACAAAGGAGAAAAGACTACTAGGGAGGGGAAAAAAAAAAACAAAAAACAAAAAAAAAAACCAAAAAAAACCAAAAAACAACAAACAACAACAACAACAACAAAACCAGTAAAAAAAGGCCTACACTTTGGTCACTCTAAACATATACAAAGATACAGTACTGACAGGGCACAATGTCTGATCTGGCCTATTAAATAGCTCTCTGTGTGCAGGAGCGTCCCTCACGATTTCTGTTATTAACTCCTCACCTGCACCAGCCAGGTCCATACGCTCCTCCAGACCATATTCCTCTTCCTCCTCACCAGATCAACATAAGCCACAGTGCAGGTGCTGAGCAGAGTAAGTCCTTGCCCTGCTGTACACGGTTACTGTTCTGCCACTGGCTGGCCTACATCCAACCTGGCTCGAACAACTTGTAGCCTCACCAGAACTAGGTTAAATCCTGGCCAATAATTACAAGCTCTTGGCACCTGTCATTTGACCTGACACTACACAATAAGGACCTAAAATTCTGCTTGAAGATAAACCCGACACGAGAGGTCAGAAAGGTTTACCACCAGTCATTTACAGGACCTTTTCCTCTTTGTGGTTCTTCAGCGTGCTCCCAAATGTGAGCCCATTGTCTTACATTCTTTCTCAAGACTTGGGTGGCTTCCAGACAGCATTGAGAAACTCTAAATATTGCACCTGAGGCACCCAGCCACTCCTGCTGGTATCCTCAGAGCCGCCCCAGGCTGCAGAGTCTGTGTCTGTTTAAGCCTTTAGAAATGGTATGGGAGGAGGCAGGAAACAGCAGAGCATGTTGAACAGTATATGGTATAATTTCAAAACTTAGTTAAGTTACATTTTTAAAAGTCAGATTCTCTGCAATAAGACCACCAATGAAAGCATTGTTCTCATCTGAACTAATTTCTTTCTAAAGCCTGACACTCACCAGACCTCAGAATGGAGGAGGGTAGTAAAACCTCAGACAGTCCTGCATGTTTTTCACCCATATGGCAGCAATTTTCCTATATCCCCTCACTTCAGACTGAACAGATCTTCACTGGCACATTTAAATCCTAAGCCCTGTGTTCAAAACAAAGATGCAATATGCCACACCTGATTCCTTCCTTCCGTGAATCTCTCTTTAGGGAAAAAACAATATACCAATAAGCCATTACTTGGGCAGCCAGCTCAGGGATGAGTGAATTTATTACCTACTCTTGATAGTCTTAAGGGTGCAAAACACACTTTACAATCCATGGTACCAACTGATTTAAGAGCTTCCCACTTTCCCCACCCATGCACCCCTGTCCTCTGAGAAGGCTGTACTGAAACTGTTGAAATTGAGTGAATCTAAACCACACCAAACAATGAAAATAAACATTCTGTGGGAAGAGAAGGGAATAAGAAGTTTCTGGGGTCACAACATGTGGCTAGTGATGGCATTTTTACACACAGGTCGTTTCAACTGCCCTGTTTTACAGCTTCCTCACTCAAGAGTCACGTTAACATAGCTAGGAGACAGAAGATGGTAGAAGGTCAAGAATTTGGGCACAGAGGTAAAAATATGCAACAGAGAAGGGTAGGAATTCCTGGCTACACTGCTTGGAAAAGTGCTTGTAGAAGCACTGCACCCTCAATGCCCAGCCCTCCACTGGCTTCAAAAACTTTTCCAAGGCAAGTCAATCCAGCCCATTAACTGGTCCCTGGACATGCCCGTGCTTGTTAATTCAGGGTCAACATCACCATACACAGACTAATAGAGTTGATAATTTGGCTCAGGCATTCTCCATCCACACACAACTACCTTCTAGCTGGATTACCAGTTGGTGACAAAAGGCTTAGGCATCAGTTAAAGGATTATATCCCACCTTTTAATAAAAATTTGCCAGTTTGCAGCTGAGTTACATTTACGACATATGCTAGACTAGTAGAAGTTTCCTTTACTGAAAAAGAAGTCAAAGACAGCAATAGGAGAGGAGTTTGTCATTTTAGAAGGGCACAAGGCCCCATCTGAAAAGTGATCCAACAGTTACTTTACAGAAGTCTAAAACCAGAGCATTTCAGGAGCTCTTGATCTTATCTTTATGTTGGAATACCAGCACAGTGAAAACAACAGAACTTTCCATATTGCTGCCAACTGAGCTTAAACAATATAATGTAATATTTTTTTATTACAACATCTACCATTAACAATGGCTGCAGTACAGTTAATTTATAGCAAAGAGTTAGGTCTGAGTCACACATTAAAAGGCCCAAAACGCCTACTTGATTCAGTCTTCTTTCAGCTCTGAACAGAGACTACTTTATCTCCTATATGCTGCAATATTAGGCAATAAGATAGCCTGCAAGCTAGTTCAGAAGTTGCTTCATGTTAGCATGTTAAGTGCACAAATGGACTATATTAGTGAATTC